CATGCACTCCCGAAGCAGACAAAATGGCTCGTGATGGGCATTTCATGTATAAATAAAATCGGGAGAATCACCGCGGCGCCCTCCTGTGCGCGTATCACTAGCAAGGTCCCAGTCTCGTGAGCGACGAGCAAAAGCATCATGAGCCGGCATCCCGCAGGTAATCGCCAATAAGGGCGAAGTCTACATTTTCGTGGGTGGTGAGACCTAACAACAAGCAACGTGGTGGTCGTAAGCAAAGCGTGCCTCGGCGCACGAAAAGGGAAGAATCGGGTCCAATTCTCTCTTACCGTGCCTGCCAGACTGACGCCAAGTTTAAAGGAATGCCCGCCCGACGGTGGCTTGCCTCCTAGATGTAGTAGATGTAGATTCTGCCGTAGACACTCTTGTCCACGAGCACGTTGAGATGGGAAGGTTGCTTGTTATTGCAGAAGCGGGTCTGCTACAGGTCTGAGGTGAGGCGGATTGCCCTCAACCTGGGGGCACGCAGATAGCTAAGTCCCGATGGGGTACGTCCTAAGAGGGTATACCTCCTGACGTCCCCCATCTTAATCTAGACCGACTGTGTACCCTATCTGTGCCATACAGCAACACTCCTTAACACTAGCCCACCCTGAAGATCATCTATACAGATTCTATACTCAAATCCTAAGGCTACTAATAGCTGGTGATTTAGGATCATGAATCGAAAGATATGACTCTTCACAAGTGTATCCAAAGGAAAGAGGAGCTGTAAGAATATCCCGACTCGGCCGCTGACGCCAAGTTTAAAGGAATGCCCGCCCGACGGTGCCTTGCCTCCTAGATGTAGTAGATGTAGATTCTGCCGTAGACACTCTTGTCCACGAGCACGTTGAGATGGGAAGGTTGCTTGTTATTGCAGAAGCGGGTCTGCTACAGGTCTGAGGTGAGGCGGATTGCCCTCAACCTGGGGGCACGCAGATAGCTAAGTCCCGATGGGGTACGTCCTAAGAGGGTATACCTCCTGACGTCCCCCATCTTAATCTAGACCATAATCTAGACCGACTGCTGTGTACCCTATCTGTGCCGTACAGCAACACTCCTTAACACAAATGTATATAATATGCATATACATACATCCCACCCAAGATTTTTGTACAAACAACAAGTGCTTGACATCATGCCAGTACCGCTGCCGGCCCATATCGTCGCATTGCTTGCACTGCTGTATTGATGCCCATTACTGCTGTACAATACTTGAGTGGTATGTATAACGGTATGCTGCCAGCTGTACAGCAGTGTATCAGTACAGCAGTTACAGCAGCGCTTTGTACCGCTGAATGTAAAGGAATGGATGTGCATGGCACCACCATTCTCCTCGCGTGCGCTGTACGTTGTCTACACTCTGCCGTCCCTTTAACACCGGCTTTCGTACACCAACGCCATACACTGCAACGCAATACACTGCTGTATTCTTACAAACTTTTTCCCACCCTCCCTCTGTGTGGATGACCCATCTTTATCAGGTCGCGAAGACCTTGAGGATCGGTACGGACAAGGTCCTGGCGGTTCGCACACTCTGGTATGACAAGCAGGAGTTGTACGAGACCAACGGGAAGGGGCGAGGCAAGGCCACCAGCGTCGACGACGGGCGACGTGTCATCACGAAGGAGCAAGAGGATGGACTGCGCGAGTTCATCAAGGGCGAGCACGAGGCGGGACGTCAGGTCTTCCGCCGTACCGTTTAGGATTACTTGGAGTGTTCGTTCGGATTAGAGATGTCGAATCGTGCCGTGGGAGGGTTGCTGCAGCGCCTTGGCTTCAAGCGCCGTAGGGGTAGGATCAAAATACCCCCGTTGAACGAGGAGAGGAAAAACCGCATCCGCCTCTTCCTTGTTAAGATGGACCTCGCGAAGAGGGCCGAGGACGCTGGGGTCGCAGTCATTGTGTACATAGATGAGAGCTTTGTTCACCAGGCGCATGGTTCCGCGTACTCATACTTTCCTTCTGACGATACTGGGGTTGTGCAGGATGGGATAGGCCGTACAACGGGGAAAGGTTTGCGTATGATCATGGTGCATGCGATCACGAAGCACGGGCCCTTGGCCGAGCTACAGGAGGGATTTCCTATCCGTGAGGGTTGGTTCAAGGCTAAGGAAAATCGTGCGAAGAAGATTAAGCCTGGCGAGGCGGATTTCGAAATGTCAGATGAGCAGACAGCAGAATTTCTGTGGCAGGCCAAGTTGGCAACCGGAGATTATCATAACGCCATGACGGATGGGATGTTCATGCAGTGGTTGAAGCACCGACTTACCCCGGCCTTCGATGCGCAGTTCAAGAACAAGAAGATGTTTCTCGTTCTCGATAACGCCTCATACCACCACTGCTTTGACGAGGAGGTTAAGGTGCCCGAAACCAACAGTAAGAAGTACAACGTCGAACTCTTGCGCAAGTACGGTTGCACGTCGTTCAAGGTGACGCGTGAGTCGGAGGGTAAGGCTGCTGAGTACAACTTTGAGGCCCCGGCGCAGGGGTCGCTACCCAATGCGAACCGCATGAACGGCGTCAGCAAAGAGGAGATAGCCTCCGTCACTCGGACGTACTTCAAAAATAATTTTCCACAAAAGCTCGAGGAAAAGGCTGAGACGTACATGAGGGAGAAGGGGTGGGGGTTAATTTGGACACCGCCGTACATGCCGACTTTCCAGCCGATCGAGCTGTTCTGGCAGCACGGCAAGCATTACGTGAGCATTCATTTTGAGAAGGGGCGGAACATGTTGGATGTCTGGAAGCAAATCCGTCTCGGTTGGTATGGAGACCCGGAATGGGACGGTCAGGAGGGGGGGTGGAAGGCAGCCAACTGTGGAAAGTTGGTGCAGCATGCCATTGGCAAGATGGACGAGTGGATCGGCCTGTATGGTGGAAACCTGAGCGGTACGATCGGTAGCCTTGAGTATCCAGTGGCAGAGTACCAAGAGGCTACGGCCGAGGATGAGATAGAGGATGGGGTGGAGGAGCAGACGGATGAGTGGCTGGGTGAGGACGCGGAAGATGCCATTGAGGGCTGAAAAAAAATGCCAAAAACAAATGCCAAAAACAAATGCCAAAAACAAATGCCCTTTTGTGGGCCAATATTTTTCGACTTTGATTCCCGAACAGCGACACGAAGGGGCTGCACAGAAGGCGCCATTCTGAGTGCAAGCTGACATATTGTTTGATATTTCGCAATTGAGATGGCTGTATCATCCTGTTCAATCAATATATGGATTACTTGTGCAAGCCCTGGGGCCGCATCGTTGGAACACCGCGCTTCAATATTTTTGGAACTTCGCCGGGTACGATCACACACTAATTTCGTAATACTACTCGGACATGGTGATTTTTTTTTTTTTTTAGAGAGCTCTGTGCTTTGTCGTCAATTTGCGCTAGAGTTTGTGATAGGGGACTCCGTATTGACGAAGTTACACAATATTCCAATTTGGTCTTGACTACTATGTTCCACCGTAATAATAGCTGCTGACTAAAACTGCTGCTGTGATACCAACACAACAAAATAATGCTTGACATTGTAACAGCCTGGTGAGTGAACGAATAATGCATGACAGGGTAAACGCCATTCATTGTTGTTGTTGTCTTCATATGTCCGCACTAGTATAACACTTGACCCGATCGATTCTCGTGGTCACAGGCTGACCTACCCCCACAAAGGTATAGTCTATACCGTAACCGTCGGAGTTTTTCCCCGGGGAGAAGATCGTTTTTTTTTCTCAAACCAACCCCCCCGGGAGGAAATTGACGTACTTGGGGGGGTTAGTTTTTTATCCAACGCTACCCCGGGGGGAAGCCCCCCCCGGGGGAAGTTGTGCAAAATAATGATGGTCCACACACCAGACACACAGAAAGTGGCGAAACTGAGATGGATAAGGTTTACAAGCAAGCGTTCAACAACGAGAGGGAGGAGGAACGTAAGAGCAACGAAGGCAAAGAGAAAAAAGACAGCAAGGAGGACAGCAGCTGGGGGAGCTTGTCTCGTCCCGCGAATGATTCCAAGAAGAGGAAGAGCCCGCCTTCCAGCGACAAACGGTACACCTAAATCTCGCTCGAAGCGTTGATCTGCAAATTTAATGAATTTTCCGTCCCATATCGTGCTTTTTGCGATCCGCGATGCAATAAAATCGACTCAGAAAATAAGGAAAATACACCCCCCGGGGGAGAACTCGTGGGAAAACAGGTACAAGCTGGTCCAGCCAAGACGCGTATTTCACGGTTGGACCGGATCTCCCGCGCGCTTTTGTCGAATCAGAACCAGAAATTGTGAGACGGCATCTGCATGATGAGTACAACAACAAAAAAAAGCCACTGCGCCATTTGGATTTTTTTTTTTCATGAGTTACCCCTATTGTTGTAAATATGGGAATACTTGTTTTGGGACAAAGTGACTAAAAAAAAAAAATCCAAATGGCGCAAAGGCTTTTTTTTTGTGGTACTCATGCATATGCCGTCTCAAAATTTCAGGTTCTGATTCGAAACAGCAGCGCGGGAAATCCAGAATTTCGTTCTGGCCTCAGAACCTGGGTGCAGGGGCACATCATTTATATAGGAAAATGAGGGGTCTAGGGACCGTAGAGACGTGTGCGAAAGCGGTGTAGTTGGCAGGAGCCACACTGGCGCTGCCTTCCAGCCCATGACGTACATGAATTGTTCCCACTGGGCGTGATGATGTGAAACACGTATTAAAAGCTCACGACGCCAAAATGCGCGTGCACTAACTCGAACAAATATGTCTCAACTCGACCGGAAAAAAAGCAGGTTTTTACGGCAGTACCGCACGATATTTTTGCACACAACCACACCTATGCTAAACCTGTAATACAAAGCCAACAACAACACCCACGCTGCGTAAAATATACAACTATACAACCTTCAACAACATATGTATGTAACTCTCTACTGTACAATGTACCCCCCCCCCTTCCGGCCGGCCGGCCAAGGTCACTGCTTGCCAAGGAAACCGGGCTCCATTTTCAGTATGTTGCGGTGAGCCTTTTGGGTGTCGCGCATTTTCTCGACCAGCTGTAGACCCTGGCCGTCTACCGCACCCAGCTGTGTTTCGCGGTAAGCTCGGCAGTAGTCTCGTGTACGCCGGGCGAAGCGTCGCACCCGACCGATCATCAAATGCTTTTCCCTGCACATCGATTTTTCGATGTTGGCATGCAAGTGCTTCGGGACTTCGTCGTTGTACTTCCGCCGAAACCTCTGCTTGGAAAACCCCCACGAGTACTCGATCCCTACCCCCGCTACCTCTGGGTGACACTTCGGAGACAACAAAAGTATGTGTCCCCTGCTCTCGACCAAGCACTGCAGCTCCGTCCTCTCACTCTCAAAATTCGTCAGTGCCTGCAATACTTTCTCGATGTTCTTCTCGTCAGCGATCCCCACTGACGCATTCATCCCCTCTATCCACCATCCCCGTTCCCACAGGTACTGCTTCGAGCCCTTGGCCTTCCCTTCGTGCCCTTCCTTAATCTTATCCCTAGGCTTTGTTCCAGCCCCATCAGCCGCCCCTTCATCGCCTGCGCCAACCCCCGCTCCCGCTTTGCTCTTGCGCTTAGCCTTGCGCGCGACCTTCACATCTTTGCGCGGCGCATCCCACAAGGGAGGTGGAGAACCTGCCGCAAACGTGCTGGTCTGTGTGTCGCCAACCTTGAGCTTCGTGTCGTAGACCTCTGCCCCCTCGGTGAACTCCGTGCTCCACTTGCCGTTGGAGGGGTACATCTTCGTCTCTTCCGGTCCCAAACACCCCTTTGTCATGACTGTATCCCGCAACACCTTTGCTTCCCCCCGTACTTGACATTCATGTTCCCCACATGCAATCCATCCTCCCGCTGCCTTGTGTGCCCCGAAGAGTGGTCGATCTCAACCACCACTTGCATGTCGGGTTCGAAGACGTCCAAGACGTCCAAGACGTCCTCGATCTGTTCCTTGAACTCGTCGTATCCCCAGTATCCATCCTTGTTCTTCCCGTACTGGAGAAACCGCAGGCCAGGGCTTCGTGTCAGGACTTCCTTGCCCTTCTCCTTGCGACGCGCGTTCACCGCCTGCAGCACGTCGTCCGTCAACGGCAAGCCAAAGCCGTGCCTCTCATCTTGAAAGGCAGACACCATCTCTCCCGGGCCCTCGGTTTTTTTACGTAACCCGCGTACCCCTTGGACAACCCACTCCTTGCCCTCGCGTGCATACGCCTTGTAGACACTCTCGTCCTGTCCGATGTGGCGCACCTTCCTGTTGCATTTGCACTTGGCCGGGGTGTGAAAATGCTCGCATGGAAGAGCAGCAGCTTCTTCGAANTGGCAGACACCATCTCTCCCGGGCCCTCGTTTTTTTTCCGTAACCCGCGTACCCCTTGGACAACCCACTCCTTGCCCTCGCGCGCATACGCCTTATAGACACTCTCGTCCTGTCCGATGTGGCGCACCTTCCTGTTGCATTTGCACTTGGCCGGGGTGTGAAAATGCTCGCATGGAAGAGCAGCAGCTTCTTCGAAGCGGACGCTGAAGTGCCCCCCTTCCGGTCCAAGTTCAGCACGGAGATCGTCGAATCGATCGACGGAGCCGTTGTCCCGCAGGAGATCGACGTGGAACTCGATGCACTCGCGCCCCTCTACCACGCAATCGTAAACCTCTGCGCAGAAATCCTCTGCCGGACCTTTGATGCCGTCAAGCCGCTGAAGCTCCTTCGGTGTCAGAGTGTCTCGTTGAACTCGCACCCACAAAGGTTGCCAAAGGGCGAGCTTCCGCTTCACGTCGATGTACTTGCCGCGGTACACCACCACGTCCTTCTTCTCGTGGCCGTCCGTGTAAAAAGACTTCGTAGCCCGCTCGTACTTGCACCCCAGCGCGATCATCCAGGAGTGGGTTGTGGCCATGGACACGGGAAGGTTCACCTGGTACGAAAGGAGTCTGGATAAATCCCCGATCTGGTTCGCGAAGAGCCACTGGTTGATGTAGTTCTGGACATCCTTGACCGTAAGGCGCTTCTGTGTCCTCATCCACTTGATGAGCTCGTCCTTTGGGTCCTCTTCCGACATGATCCAGTCCCTCTCGTGCACCCCCCTTGAATCTCGCTTGAAACCACCGTGCCCCCGAAAGTCCCTGAGCCACCCCAGGATTGTCGATGCCGCGTAAACCCGTGAGCCAGCGGAGTTTACTCTCGCCGCGATCCGCAAGAGCGACGACTCGTGTCGAAGACGCGAGGCCTCGTTCAACAGATCAAACCGTTTGGCCTCTGCTGCCTTCACCGCTGGGATCGTCGTGTNAACCAGGATTGTCGATGCCGCGTAAACCCGCGAGCCAGCGGAGTTTACTCTGGCCGCGATCCGCAAGAGCGACGACTCGTGTCGACGACGCGAGGCCTCGTTCAACAGCTCAAACCGTTTGGCCTCTGCTGCCTTCACCGCTGGGATCGTCGTGTACGACTCATCCGACAAGCTCTTCGCCTGCTGCGTGAGTTCCAGTTGCCGCAGGTCGCGCTTCCGCTCCTCCTTCAACACCGTCAACGCCGAGTGCCCTTGATACCACAAGCGGTTTGCTTGGGTGGCGGACACTTCCTCCTTGTACTGGTTGTCCTCGCCCTCGGTACACGCCCGTGCGTCCACCTCTGCATTTCCTTCGATGGGCGAGGGGGGGAGAGGGGCGAGAAGACTCGCGAGGTCTTGCTCCGCCATAGCTTCCTCAATACGCCGAATGTGCTGCTCGTTACTCTCGATCTGCGATGTCAGCTCGTAGATCCGGTTCCCGAGATAGGAGCCCCGCTTGTCGAAGTCCCGTCGAAGCTTTCCTTCCCTCTTGCTCCAGCCCCGGGCCACCGAACGTCTCTCGCGCCTGGAAAGCGTCGACTCTAGCGTGAAGCCTGCGCGGGTCGCGTCCGAACCGGCCAGCCGCTGTCGCTTGAAATTCCTTTCCTCCACGGCGTTTAGCTTGCCGAGGCTGTTGCGCGATTTTCCTGTGTGAAATTGGGATTTCGGGTCGAGGCGTCAGTTCATGTGAAACATTTTCATACGACAGCAGCAGCGAAAGTTTGACAGGAAGAGATCACTGCAAAGCACAGCGAGCCCTATCTGATCCCGCCCCCGGTATATGTTGATGTGTGTATTGGCAGTACAGCCGGTAATTTTTTTAAGGTTAAGGCAGATGAAGTAACATGCGGCGCAGGTGCATGGATGTTTGGATCAGTTGAAGGGGATCGCGAGCACAAATGTCGACTGTACTTGAATTCGTGCAGGGAGTGTTTTTGGCCCGCAGCAGGGCACCACTGCAGCAGAGTATATGCAGAACGCACACGAAGATAAAGTACTCAAACAAAACCATATCTCCTGCTGTAGTATCGCCTGGGTCCGGTACTGTCAATATGTGATGATGGCGACCCACGTGCATGTGGAAATTTGGTCGACTGATTACACTTGTGAGAGCGCCTACAGGGGCTTTGTATTCGTGCAGGGAGTGTGATCGGCCCGCAGCAACGCATCACGGCAGCAGTATATGCAGATAATACACAAGGATGAATTACTAAAACAAACCGATAACTCCTGCTGTAGTGTAGCCTGGGTCCGGTACTGTCAATATGTGATGATCGCGAAGCACGTGCATGTGGAAATTTGGTCGACTGATTACACTTGTAACGAGCATCTGTAAGGCCCCACAGGGAGCTGCGCCCGCACAGCAGTAGGCATAGAGGTTTAAATAGACAGCAGTTGAGGAGTGCACAAAAGTGTGAATGGTGCGTTCAAAGAGCGCTTGTAGCACCGGTGAGTACAACATCGGGACCGGCAAGCCAGCACATGACACGCGCAGTCTTGTACGTGACAACGTTGTGTCAGCTCAGCTCGTTGCACCCGGTGCACTTTGAACCGAAAAATATGGAAAATGCTACACACATGGGGAAAACAAAATTATAGCGATACGGTGTAGTGAAAGTGAGTAATTTCGAGAGCTGCAAGTAGTACACTCACGTACAGATACTGGCCGCCGTCGCCGCCGTCGCCGCTGCCGCGGCAGCAGCAGCAGCAGGTGCAGCACGGCGGACGCGGTTTGTTTGTGGAAGACAAAAAAAAAAGCCGTTGCGGAATATAAAACGACGCTATGATTCCATTGTTAATCTGTCTCTGACTCTTTTCTATGATAGAGATGGACTCGTTGTGTCGTATTAAGAAAAAAATAAAAAAATAAAAAAAAATCAAGGTTTGGACACCAGCAACCTCTCACATGTTAGAAAGGCTTACCCCAATTAGACTACTCAGTCAGCGCTGACTGAGTAGTCTAATGGGGTAAGCATTTCTAACAAAAGATATACTCTCGGCTCGTAGCCACCCGGCCGGTCGCTGGGATTCTTGGAAGTAGGGATCTCCGGGGACGGACCCCTCGCCAGGCGCTGCAGGAAAAGAACCAAGGGTGCTTGTGAAAGTGACCAGCCGGGTTTCGAACCCGTGCGTCTAATGGGGAAAGCCTTTCTAACAAGAGGTGGCACTCGTTGCAAGCTTCCAAAATTGTTGCTCCCCCTCCCTTGCTNCAAGGGTGCTTGTGAAAGTGACCAGCCGGGTTTCGAACCCGTGCGTCTAATGGGGAAAGCCTTTCTAACAAGAGGTGGCACTCGTTGCAAGCTTCCAAAATTGTTGCTCCCCCTCCCTTGCTTACAGTAGGAAACAACGAGAGCGAGTGCCACGCGCAGCAAAGCCTGCTGTAGTGTACACATGCAGCGTGCGTTTCGACCACTCGCGATGTCCGCACCCTGCTGCTACGAACAGCACCGATTTGAAGTCTAAGAAACATGATTGTGTGTGTACCCAATTCACGACTTGCCTGCTGGAAGCGCAGTCGCTGCCGCCACAGCTGCTGAGGGTGGGACTCGATCTCTCATCGTGCACTTGTAGAGCTTGCCGCGAGGGCTGTACGGCGTCGCCTGTCCTGAAGTCCAAGACGCCGGCAAGCGTTGCCTCTCGAGTAGCAAACCGTGAACTCTGCTGACTTTTCGCCTTGTTTCCCTTCCGCTTTGTGAAGTTGAGGAACACCCGCCACTTGCCAGTGTTCTTCTCTGGATAGCACACGGGCATGGACGTCTTCTCCCACTGGCCTGTGGCTGCGGGGAAGCGGCTGGAAGCCATGCTGTCGCTCTCTGCACGGTGCTGCGCAACAGCAATGTGTGCTGCTGCTGTGTTCCTTTTTTCAAAAATCCCTAAATCCGCCGCAAAAAAAACGTTTCAATTTTTTTTTAGCGACTCTAAGGCTGTTTCTTACAGAACCGGATTCTTGATCTGAAAAATCGATTTTTT